CCTTGATCTCCTGGGCTGAAGAACAGTCAGTACGATGCTCGAATCACAAGACTTGGACAAAATCTACTAACCTTGATACCCTGAGGAAGCGGGAGCGTCCTCGAGAACTTGCCGTACCGCCGCTCGCGGACGGCGTATCCATTCTCGTCACGCTCCGACGAGATCTTGGTCTCCCCGGAGACGCTCAGCTGGTTGTTCTGCACGTCGATGTTGACGTCTTCTTTCTTGAGACCCGGGAGCTCGAAGGTAGCCGTCACCAGGTTATTCTGATTGTCTTCGTGTACGTCCATCCTGTACAAGGGATATGTTAGCATCCGTGTCATCGACGCGGAAGGAGCATCGTAGTACTTACCTTGGTCTCAACAGACGTGATCCATTGTCAGTGCTCCGGCGCTGCACTTGGTTATTTCCAGTGGTGTTCCCACCGGTACGAGCTGCGAACGCCTCGTCAAAGAGGCGGTCGAACTCGGAAAGGGAGAAGAAGGGGTCGAAGTAGTTCGTGAGCGACATGTCTAGTGGAGATAGATGTCGAAAGAATTTGTGTCCTGTCCGACTTTCTTGCCATCCCACCGTTGCTTGCCAGGCGTCTTTTATACTTGAGCCTGAGGTCGCCATATGCATTTGGCTAAAGGCACTGGACCGTTATAGAAATTTCCAGAAAAGTGGAGGTTGTACGGTGGAGGTGCTCATGGGGTTCCAGTGCAGGACGGCAGGAGACCTTCCAGGTCACTCTAGACTACACAAAAAGGTTCCGACGCCTCTGAGGGCAGTGAATCCGAAAAGTAAGATTGTTGAGTCGTCGCGATGCTGGACAAAAAAGGAAGTGGATATACCATTTATGGGAAGGCCCTTGTTTACATCATGCATCATGTCGATGCACCTCAACACCGAAAGCTGCCGGATGGGAGGTAGTTAGTTCTACATAGTGATAATACAGCACCCTGGTGCCTATCTGACTGTGTCCTCGGATGAGCAGTTACCATGTCGAATTTGACTTCGCTGTCACGACGGCAAACTATTACAACTAACAAAATATAGTGAGAGAAGGAGCGTCCAGTACACATACTATGGTATGACAATTATCTATCCAACGAACGACAACACGGAAATCACCGATTCCATGACAGTAGCGACATGTCGCCCACTCTCCTAATAACGTGGGATATGTATCATCAGCATTAGTGTTCGACGTTCCGACGGAGGGAGAAGACGCACCGTGGTTTGAGGAGATGCCGTATTGTCCCAGCAATGGCCAAGAAGACGAAGAGCCCTGACGAGGCGATATAAGCCCATCCCAAGAAGTTATTCTTGCCACCGATCCAAGAGACAGTCGATATAACGATAGACTTAGTTCCATGGTAACTCTGCACGGGGAAATCTACAGGGATGATGAGATTAGATCATGCTTTGGTCACTTCAAAGGACATTCTCACTGAGCCCGATAGTAATCTGGTACGTCCCCTTGACCAACGTATCGGCGTCATTCCTCCCATACAACTTGGAGAACGTAGGTAACCCCGCCGTGCGCATCCAGTTTTGGAAGTGCTCGTCGTTGTGCAGATCCGGCAAGTTGCTGTCGTTGTATCCCTGCGGGTAACGATTGTACCAATTCGGTGGCGGCACGATCTCGTCTGCACTGTAGCCCGGCGTGCTCGCGTACTTCTTCGCCTCCCCTGGCCACGCAATACCCCTCTCGGAGAAGGCGTATACATCATTGGAGCCAAGGTTCGTCAAATTTGAGAACGTGTCTATCCAGCACACAAATGAGTCACGCAGGAACAATTGATTCTGATGGCGTACCATTAAATATCGAGTTTGCTATAAGACCGCAAGGATAAATTATCTTCGACCCGACGGTGTCCACAGGCTTGCAGTCCCCGCCGTTTATGGTGCTTGCGCTCACGTTCTTACCCTTCAGCTGGTCCGAGTCGAAGCTCTTCACATAGCGCCGGTGGTTCTGATAGAAATTCGTGAGCTTGTAATAAAGGAGTACGCTGGGGTCAAGATTGATTGGGACGTCGAATTGGACGACGCAGACAGTCTGCAGGGACGGGTCAGGGCTGGAGGAGTTATTGATGCGTGCGTATTTGGGAGCAGTGTGGGTGGCCGAGGACTCGGATGAGCGCAGGGAGTACTTGAACTTGTTGGAGGGAATGGTTGTGAATGTGGTGTCAGAGGACAGTGAGTCTTGCGCGTCGAGATTCTCGCAACCAGTGTAGTCAATGGTTATTTCAGATACCTGACCCTCGATCCCATGAGTACCCTGCTCCCAGCTGCAAGATTTCAGGGAAACGCACCAGACTACTCCCCCAAATCAACAGCGCACCAATAGGCGCAAAGATGATGCCTATGATGAACAACGTCGGAAGGACAGTCTTAGGCGTCAGGATCGGCTGCCACGCCTTCAGCCGCTGCTGCTTGAAGGCGGTGTCTGTAGGATACTGGGTGAGAACGGACGGAGATCCAGTGCTAGTGCGACTTACTTGCTGGGCGCCGCCAGCTCCCCTTCTCCTTCTTCTGTGCGCCGTCGCCATTGCTGTCGGCGTTGCCGCCTCCGCGGCGAAAGAGACCCATTGGCAGATGGTAGTAGAGCGAACGGTGAGTATGTCAGTGCCGACCTGCAACGCATCGCCGAGCTAAGCTGGCTGATGTAACCTTCCCACGCGTCCCTTCTCGGGTCCGTACTTCGTGCTTCACAGCCATTTCACAGCTGCGGCAGAATGGTGGTCTTGTCCCATTCCAATGTCATGCTGCATGTGCATAGTACTAGTATATCGTTTGTTATACCGACGCTGGAAAGCATACAAGACAGCAGGATAGACGAACAAAGTGCAGTGCAGAAGAGTTACCGTCTCTGCCTAGGCTTGTCTGACACGAAGTCGGGAAGCACCTCGACGTACTGGTCCTCGAGCTCATGCTGTTCCAACTCGATGGTGGGGACCGACTCTGCCCAGTTACCATACCAATTGGCCTGAGAACATAGCTGCTTCCTTGCATTGCACTTGAGACATAATTGACCATTTCGTACAGCTGCCGTCTGCAAGACATACGTGGTGAAAGAGTAGGTGTGGGGAATCTGAGCCTAAGACTCCCGCACCCCGATCGGGGGGAGCTACGCATTGTTTAGTGCCACTTCCGCATCATGCAGCACCGATTGTGGTGTAAGGTCCAACATAAGCCAATGCCCTCGGGACCATAATTGGATACAAATAAAGGTGCTCGTAGCTGCGAGGCCATATATAAGCACAACGTGATAATAATCACTGAGTACACTCATATCGTTGGGCTCACGCCACAGTGGCAGTGTCGTTCCATATATGGATTATATCGTTCCTCTTTTGGCCCGTGTGGCGCCAACTTGTTCTGCTGTTCTGCAAAATACTCAAGGAAGGCATATGACATTCCCTTCCCAATTCAGAGGAATATCGGTGAATGCTCTGGTGTAACCCAGTGTGAATAAGCTCATCTGAATGACGCGTCGAACATTGTCTGCTGTATAACCTTCAATTTTCTGGAAATTTCTATAATAGTCTGGCCACGCTCCTCGGTTGGTAGCGTCGAGTATAAAAAACCCTGGGCAGCAGTACCACAGCAGCAAGGAATTCAAACAAGCAGCAGCGCCACAAGCTCTATCGACACCTATCACCGCTACATCCTTATGTCGCTGACGAACTACTTCGACCCCTTCTTCTCCCTTTCCGAGTTCGACCGCCTCTTTGACGAGGCGTTCGCAGCTCGTACCGGTGGGAACACCACTGGAAATAACCAAGTGCAGCGCCGGAGCACTGACAATGGATCACGTCTGTTGAGACCAAGGTAAGTACTACGATGCTCCTTCCGCGTCGATGACACGGATGCTAACATATCCCTTGTACAGGATGGACGTACACGAAGACAATCAGAATAACCTGGTGACGGCTACCTTCGAGCTCCCGGGTCTCAAGAAAGAAGACGTCAACATCGACGTGCAGAACAACCAGCTGAGCGTCTCCGGGGAGACCAAGATCTCGTCGGAGCGTGACGAGAATGGATACGCCGTCCGCGAGCGGCGGTACGGCAAGTTCTCGAGGACGCTCCCGCTTCCTCAGGG